TGGTTTTGGCCACTCCGGCCAGACCCATTCTTTCTTTATATAGTCTCTTTGTTGCTTTTGTAGTTTAACTAGGCATAGGTCTGGGAGTGCCAGAGAGGTCTTTGCCACTCTGGCCAGACCCATTCTTTCTTTTGTTCCTATTTGCCTCCAGCTATTGCAAAAGAATGTTCTTTGTTACAGTTTCCTTACTTAAGTTGGTGTCTCCAGGAATGAGTGAGGCAGGGGGAGCGGGTTAGCGTAGCGGTTCTTTCCTGGCTTTGCACCAATGAGGCCCGGGTTCGAGTCTAGTTTATTCCTTAATTTGGTTTGGCACCCTGGATGTCCCTTTGCTTTGCCTGAGCCATTTCTGTTGGAACATTTTCTGTACATAAAAATGTGAAACCAGAAGGCAATTTTGCTTGTGATTATTTATGTACTGGTGTCCCGTTACAATACCTGCATATGCACCTGATGATGACCTTGCTGTAACAGAAGTAGATAACAGTGTCTGATGTTAAGGTTGATTTTCTTCCAGGATAGGTTCTGCAATCTCCACAGCCAAAACTGCAGCACATGTAGTTCAAGCTGCTGGTGGGCTGAGTCGACTGAGGGGCCAAGTCCTTTCCCACAGTGAAGCACACATCGATGTGTCCTTTATCATTGATGGTTCTGAGGTGAGCAACTGCAGTGATAGCTTTGGTGGATGCGTGTAAGAATATGCACAACTCATTGCGTTGCATCATGGTAAGTGACTTCAAAGCATAGATACAAGTAACGGGAGGATCGTTTAGCTGATGTAGTGAATCCGTGCTTCCCATTCTTTCAGCTTCTCATTAGGAAGTGGTATGTCCTAGCTACAAGCCTCAGTAGTGAGTTGACGCCGTAGAGCTCAATCTGCCTGATATGGTGATTGCATGTGGCTATTAGCTGAGGGGACCAAAAGGCGCCGTTAACTTTTGAAAGGACTCCACATCATGTGAACAGTTTGTCAGCAGCTAACGCCTTGAACTTGAATGTGTCTGTTGCCATTACCCAACACAGACCAAGACTTCACTGAACGGATTTAGCATCCCCTCCAAGGCCAAGGTCCTTCATGCTAGTAGCATGGTCCTCTGGAGAAAGAGCTTCTGTCACGGCAGTGCTATTTGATGCGATCTTGTGCAGTCGTAGGTTTGATTCTGCCAGCAGTGCTTGGATTCTTTGCAGCAAATCGAGAGCCTCCATATGTCTGTGGGCAGAGACTTGAGTCAATAATTGACATGGAAAAGTCTCATGACAAACTTCCTTGTGTCTTCACCAGAGTTGCCCCCACCTTCTCCGACAGCTCGATGGGGACTATACAATACTGCAGGAGATGGAGTGTTGCAAAAGGTATGGTCTTTCATTCTGTACTCAACCACATCCCTAAATGTCTCATCTCTGCACAAGAGGACCACCCTAATTTGACCTTGTTCTGATGCTAAATGTCGGCACATTTCTCTCCATCTTTGAGACAGTGGTAGCTGTGCATGGTTTTTCTCGAATATTTTCATGAAGGCGACAAAACACTTTTCCATCTCAGGCTTCTTGTTAAAGCCGTAACTTAGTGAGGCAAGATGAGTGAGTGCATGTTGTCAGTTGTTGGAAAGGAGACCATCTCAATAAACTGAATGGGACGGGTGCCACCCACCTGTTGGTGCCATCCCTGTAGACATCATTGAAAGTCTTCATAAGAAGATTGTGTCCTTGATTGAGAGGGTAGGCTTGTCATCGTGACTAGATTGGATCACATCTCGCCCAAGTTCCTTGTCTCATACTTTTCTGGCATGTCATTGGTTGTACATCTGAGATAAACCGTCTTGCTGCTCCCCCCTGTAGCTCGTCATCACTTGAAGATGAATGTAAATCACATATTGAGTGAGAAAGGATGGTCCTTTCATCTCCAGTGTCTCATCTCTGTGGGTTTTGAAGCTACCCAAACTCGGGTTTTGTGCATTCCTGAGGCAAATTTTACCAACCAGAACCCAACCCATGTCAAATCACTGTAAATGGAGGGCTGTGTATGTTGGCCATTGATTTGCTTTTCCACACTCACAGGATATCTTTTCCTAGTATCAGACAAATTTGGGCATTTGGGTTAAGGTTCGGGATAAGGGCTGCCACAGACTCAAGATAGGGCTGCCTCATCAGGTGTTATTTCATCGTTTTTCCTTGAGGATTTCTTACCTTGATAGGTGGGGGAGATCAGGTAGACTTACATGTATTCCTCCATTCACTGCCTTAATGTGGAAGTTGTCAGCCTGTTTTCCAATCCTTCCTGTAACCCATGCACAAGTTTGGAGCGAGTAGGGTGATGGACTACTTTGTGTGTTGAAAAGATCAAAGAAATTTGACCTTGCCAATGACCGATTGCTCTAATCATTGAGTATGGAATACGTCCTAACTGCTGCCTTGGGATGCCGTCTTGAGTGCACCTACATATTAGTACAGGACTGTGCTGTCAAACAGTTGTTGCCTACCTCCGGATTTGGCTCAAGGTCATCCAGTGGTCACTTTCGTGGCAGTTATTTCATGAAACTTTAAGAAACCTAAAATCAAATTTAAGCTGCTCTTATCCTTTCCTATTTCCTTCAGCCGATTATTAGCTGTATTTGAATGGTCCTCATGCATGAGGCCCTACCCCCAGAACTGTGAGGTTCGATATCCTTTGCACTCCCATACGGGAGTGTGGCAGACAACAAACCACTCAGTTCTGGGGGTACTGAGGCCTTTATGAGGTAATGGTAGATTTGGATCGATTGCTGTTTCCTCATTTGCTGTTTCCTCATTTGCTGTTTCCTCATGTACACAGTTTGCAGGTTAGGTAAGTGTAAAGGTCATTTTCTGGCCAGTGGACAAATTGGCATTTACACTTTTCTGAATGATCATGATGATTACAGCCAAACATTGTCATTAATGTGGCTCTTATAAGTGTTCTGTGGACTGTTTGCATATTCAGGGCAAAGGGCACCTAATGATGTCATTTTCATGCAAAACAGGTTAACTATATATATACTTCAGTTCTTAGACTTTTAAAACTGATGAATCATCTACATCAGTTCCAACCCTCTAAAAGGACCTGATGTGTCTTTGCAAATAAAGATCAAAGGTTAGCCAGTAATCAGCATCGGTCGTTTCCCCATTTACATCCTGTGGAATGGCCGGCATAACATTTGTTCAGTTAAATGTGTCTGTACTGTCAAAATATGCACCATTTGTAGACAGGTCAATGTTCACAGAATGGTCAGCAATTATTGAGTGTTGACCATCAACTGATATTTTTTGTTTGTGGTGCGCAGTTAAATGTATCTTGCTCCTGTCTGACGGTGGGTTTTGTTCATGCAATTCAAACCCTTAATTTGTTGCCAGCTAGCCAAGTGTCAACAATTCAAGAAATCTGAACTCTGTGTGAAACCAGCCAAAAAGTGGGGATTTTTCAAAGCATTTCGCTTTACGAGTCTACACTTGGTAATTATGATGACGCATGACTTCAAATAACTTTATTTTAATATAAATATAATAAAAAATTGTTGTGCAACAATGGAATGCACTTGCCAGCTAACTCTTGACAACCAGCTTAATTACAGACTAATTCGCCTTTTTCAAAGGCCAAAATGAGAGTGCAGGCTTCAATTGATATCAAGTACATGTAGTTATTCACATAAAGTAAAAAGAATTTTTGGGCTAATCAATTCAAATAATTCACTATTCAAATATTTGACCTTCAATTTGATCGAACATCTGACTATTCGGTTGTACCAACTGGCAGATTGTTGATGAATAATTTATGTACAAAATCAGTTGCAATAATGCTTACAATTGTACATTGTAATCACTTTAATAGCTTCTCACGTCTACGAGTATCTCCAGCCATGATTTGGCAAGATTTAAGAGACAAATAATACTTCTTGTCCCATTGAAAATTTCTGTTCCTTTTAAATTTTTTAATGAATAATCGTTGTAAGATTTCTGTCGCTTTTCATTTGAATCTGCTTGAAACAAGCCTCCAGGGGGCAATTTTTCTCATTTAAATAAAACTAAACAAAATTCTCCCTTCATTTTCATGAATTTTGCATTTACATATTCAAATTTGGAAAATAATATTCAAATACAATAATTGATTGGATATTCGGCTCAGCCCTACTCGCATGACTTGACAAATTTGCACAATTGTACTTGTTATCTCAAAGTTGTCAGAAATATACACAGTTCCTTAAAATGAGCTGCTAAAACATGTGCATGCATGTGTATTAACTAAATAAAATATATTCAATGATCCCGTACCATGCCACAGATAAAGCCTAGTATAACATTAACATCTTCAAAACAGACCCAGATTAATATACAGTGTATCTAGTATCTATGCTTTTCAGCAGGCATCATTGGTTCTGCCTCTTGTTTATATATTAGCAACTGTAAACCAACCTGGCACATCAAAGCCACAAACATGGAAGTTTCAAGAAACCCCCCAACTTTAAGTCAGAGATTGAAAACCAGTAGATCTAAAGACTCATCCATAGTCCTCATTCTCGTAATTATTAAACTGTGATATAGTGTTATGAGCTTTAATATATTTAGAGAGCCCAACAGGATTAAAAATACAAAAAACTTATACTAAACCTACTGTAAAAAACTGTATTAAACAAATGTCTGCTTACATTAATGTTTCAAGTTTTGATCAAAAATGAATTTCAGCCTAAACATTTCAGTTAAACATAAGGTGATAAAGTATACATTTTGCCACTTACTGATTCAAAAGATGTGAATGTAGACTAATATACATATACATATTCATCAACAAATAAATAGTAATTACAATGGGGTTTTTGTGAAGGATTCAACATGGCATTTTGTAGATTATAAAATCACAACACACTTTTGATGTTGCACAATACACTTGTATCTATTTTAGCAGCAAACAGAGTGATTGAAAGACAGGAAGTATGAGATGGTCTCGTCCTGCATCACACAGAAACAGTGTGCTGACGTAAGCACAATGAAAATGCTACATCCCCATGTATCCAAGATTTGGGAAAGAGGATCAGCTCAAGATCACGGAACAATTCATGAGTCATTCGAAATCATTTTAGTACCAGAAACAAATTGTTTGAAATCATTTTCCAAAGAATTCCTTCTATAACCTCTAGTGGGGGGTGAATTCCCCTGGCACCATACCTCCATACAGGGCAAGAGGTTGATCAAAATGGTGGCACAACAAAATTTTTATTGCTTGTAGAATCTTAGAATACATGTACACATATATCTGGTTCAAACTGCAAAATACAAGATTTTGTCTTCAGGGATTTACGTTAGGTGAATACAAAACAAAGTGACAGTAAATAACTCGAGGGTGTTAGTATAGCCCCAGCTTTCAAAGTTCATGTACAGAAAGTCATTAATTGTCAACATTAGTTTTTAAAAATACAGTAATCTCACTAAACTGTTTGTTTAAGTTATATTTTTTTACCCCAGCTGTTCTGTATTGTTTAAAGAGATTCCCCATATTAACTTGCCAAAGCTCTGTTGAAGAAATCCTTCCCAAAATGTTATTCCTTTACATTAATACATTTTAAATATTGAGACTGATCTCCAGAATATACCCTAGAACATCAGCGATGCTCCTGCATTTGCTTTGAAGAAAATAGAGCAGAGTGTTCCACTTACCAGCCACTCACATAACTTTTGAGTAGTTGTCATTATTAAACATCACCAAAAACAAGAAAAATATCAAAAATGAATGCAAAATAAAAAACGGTGCAGAATGCAAGTACAGACAAAATAGACAATGACAAGAGGGCAACTACAGACAAGCATGAAACACAGCAGAAATATAATCTTCAAAACTGAGTAAGTTAGGGGAACATAAAGGTGTGAGAAATCATGAGCGAAGGGCACCAAAAAGCTGACAACAAAAGTAAACTAAACTGAGGCACTCTATGAAGGCAACCTGTTCTGGTAATCAACACCTACAGTACTTAACATGTTTCAGAAAATTTCTGTGCACAAAAACTATGCAAACAAGCTGCACTGGTACATTAAGGGCTGGTAGTAATATAGTTTGGTATGGCTGCCAAAACAATGCCACAGAAGCTTGGCAGTGAAGGGGGACCTTTATATCATTCCAGAATCGCTCAAAAGGGGCGTGGTTTCTCTCTGATTACTCTGTCGATTGCCCCTGTCCAAAGTGTTTTTCTTACTGCTCTCATCATCAGTATCCAGAGGTTGGTCAAGCTCAGCATCCTTCACGTACACATAACCCCTTGCAATCAGCAAAAAGCACACAAAATCAATGGTCATGATCCCAGCAAGAAGGAGAAAAAAATACTCCAGGTGGCCATTGTTGACTTCATTAGGGATCCACTCTGCCTCTGCAATTACAAATCAAGTGGGGATGTATTTCTCCTTCCTTTTTTTCTAAAAACAATTTAATATTCAAATTTAGTTTCTCTAGACTATATAAACCAATCGTCTGATTCTTGATTCTCAGACAAAATATTTTGACAATTTAGGGGATTGTTTAGTCAGGTAGCTATTATTGCCTAGCAAGTGACCGATGCAAGGAATTCCTTTTCCTGAAAATTTACAGCATTGTTCAAAAGTTCCAAATTCATTCTTGGTGATTTTCGGAAATAGTGTCAAAAAGATCCACAAATATATCCACAATGTATACGTTGCCAGTCTTGTCTGATTTTCTCAAAAGCCAAACAAATCTGACAACTTACACAAAATTTCCTATGGTGCTTTTGAATACATGTAGTAGCTACATCTTCAGCATAAAGGCACCTTTCCATAGGCGATTTTGACAGCCGAACGCTACGCACACATGTATTATGTTAATGGAGTTGTTTTTGTGTCCTTGAAAGTGAAACGCATGAATGTATCGTGTACGCAGTGCACCCCAAACGTATATATGGAAAGGCACCTTCATGGTGATTGTTATACACTACCAAGCAAACGCAAGAAGCATCCTAGAATTAAATTACGTCATATTCGTCTTGCATTGCATCACTTGTTATACAATCACTTGTATTTTGGTCTGTGATGGCCACCAGACCTAAAATGTATTACGCATCAATAAGTAGGTGAATTGTCAGGAACTGGAACCCGAATAATATACATACACCAAGTCATTCTCTCACATGATTCATTCAAGCTTTACGCCACTAACCACCTGCTCCACCATAATATATGTACACTGATTTCTTTGTGCTACACACAAGTATTGTGAGCATAGTGCCGTACATTTCTTAAATTTATACCTGTATGATACAGCAACAGTCAAATACTTTGAGAAATACAAACCTCACTTTTGTTCGCATGCATGCATGTAAATACACGTAGGTGGAAAAGTTGATGCAATGGCCATTCATGTACATTATATATGTACTCAAGTCTGATTTGCCGAGAGTATACTTGTATATGTAGAACAGTTGCAAACATGGCAAAAGTTTGTGGGATGGCTTGAGTAAACCAGAGCTTTTGCTAGTTAATTTGGCAGAGAGATATATTTCTTGATCCAAGTTTCCATACTGACCTCAAACTGAAGTAAACTAATTTTTAACTAACAAATGTCTGACTTGCCTGATGTAATTGCATTCATGATCGTAACAAGTAGTGATCCAATGTAGCTGCCAAGTCCAGAAGTTAAGAGAAATAGCCCCATGACAACTCCTTGCATAGCTTTGGGGGATTGAGAGTATGCAAACTCCAGGCCTGCAATGAGGAGCAAAGTTTGAAGATGCATAAATAAAGTATCCTCTTGAACTGGGTGCTATGTGTAAAAATCAAACAGCTATATGCCACTCGACACTTACATTCATCTCAAGTGAACAAAATAATTAGATCTGGAAATCCTATTCCAAATATTCTCTCTGAAGTAAAGATCTTATGTACTTGTATATGGCTTCCCTTTGTCACTCTTAAGTTACCTGAGGTAATATCTGTAGTTTTAAGGTACAATGTTGGTGGAATTAGAGGGGGATTGGTTCCCAGGAAGTAGCCACATCTTACCCAAAATATTTATTTTAACCATCTTGTATTCCCATTATAAGTACTATGCTTTTCAACATAGTGATAAAAACCCGTTCCTAATCTTCCTTTTCCATTTCAATCAATTTATTTCATAATATGGGCTTTTCTTGTTCCTGATTTACAGATATTTTGACTGGATTGTACTACTGTATGATTTGTATCACTGTTTATCACACATTATGTGGTATTAATTGTGAGTCTAGTTTTGTCTCTGTTTTAATTCCTTTAAATGTCTTCAATTTCAAGTCTTTTTTAGGAAATCTAATGCTTGAGTCCTCCATCAGAAAAGATATCCCTATCCTATAAGTCACACAAGTCTGCAGCCTAATTGTTAATATTTAAAGGCTAAATGCTAAGTAAGGAGTAAAGGTTTGGGGTAGCAGTACATGTACTGTATGTATAGCAATTCTCTTTTGTGAGTTTGTGAGGCTCTGAAAAGAACCGTGAGGGATGGGATGTTTCAAGAAGTGTGCTTTGTTGAAGACTAGTGTCTATCAATATCAGATATTTGAATAATCAATACATCAGAAATCTGATATTGAGTAAATTTGACATACTGAATACTCCCATGTAGATCTAGTAAAATCCCATTATAACTCAAAATAGAACAACTTAAACTCCATTTATCTCAAATTTAGTCACACTTTATTCCCATAAAAAAGAAAGGGATTTCACATGTATAGGCCAATACATAAATTATGGGCCAATACATAAACTTCTGAACTAGAAACCTGCATGTTCAGATGTTCCCCCAAAATGAGGAGGATCGAGGCATGTATGTTCACCCAGTACTGGCGGTGTATCAATTTAGTTACCATTGTACGGGGTGGTGCATGACAGGGGTACCCATATGTTCCGGTCCTGTATCCTGCGACTAGAGCTTCAAATTGCACCACGTGTTGCCAACAAAGAGTGCAACATAACTCGTCGAAAACATTTCTTGTAGGGGATAAGCTGAAGATGCCCAACATGTATGTTTGCAAAGGACGTAAGTAATGACATACATGATAAATCCAAAGTGCAAAAGTTTTTTTTAAAAGTGTGACTAACACCTTCACTTAATGTCCTCAGAAGCCAGTACCGATACTTGATATATCATAAACTGATTATTATCGACACTATTAAACTCTACTGAAGCTACACTATTCAAATATCAACTGATTGACTTTCAGTTAGGTTATGAATTGTTTTCACAGCGTGCCCCAGGTTTTTAAGTTCATGAATGATTTGGCTTTAAAAACTTGCAAGCTAATGACAATCAAGATGGTCTTTAGTTCAATGCTGGCTTCACCTTTATGGGTTTCACATTCTTGTAAAAATCCTGGGTGCAAGGATGTCAAGATGCTTTTACAGGAAGAGAGAAAATAAAACAAATTTTCACTACTCAAAAAAGGCTATTGCATATTTGATAACAGAATTATTTACATGTATAAAGAAACACATGGTAAGACTATCTTTTAATTTTCTTCCTTGAACTGAGACAGTGTTTGCCTGTAGGCCAAACTACATGTAAATCAAACACAACATGATCTATTGCATGTGATACTGCATGTACTGTGTGCTATATAAATGTACACTGTACATGCATCGTTCTGGCAATGACGTCATCTAATCAGCCTGGGAGCACGAACGGCCAAAAGGGGATTCTCTGTGGGCGGAGAAACACAGGATCTTGTATTCATTTTGTGCGGTCACAATAGACCTACAACATAAGGTAGTAAGGCAGTGTTTACCGCAGTGCATTGTGGATGAAAGGTATATATATATATATATATATATGGCATGTGTATCGACCTGACACCAAAAAAAAAAAGAAACAACAAATTTAAAATCCTGATTATCATCCGAAATGGTCCATGTGAACTGCTGTGTTCCATTGTGTTTATCAAGCACTCAACGAACGCCAGAACTGCGTTTTTTTAACTTCCACGGGACCGCAGGAGGTGACAGATTTAGATAAGTTCCGTGAGAAATAATGCCATCAAAGCAAAGTCCAAGTAGTATTGTAAATGGTGGTTCTGACCAAAATGACCCTCCTATACCTACCCGACTAAAACAAAAGTGACATTTCCAAAACTTAAAGTGAAAACACTCACTCTATACACCTCCCAAACTCGATAAAACATACCCAACACGATAAAATGCACCCACCTCAATAAAACATACCCACACCCCGCACAACCCTCACCAGATTGAGAGACTGATGCTTCAAAAATTTTTCTAACTGTATAATAAAACAGAGATGTCAGACCAAAAAACCAACATCAATTGTTACTTTGCAAATACACAATTCAAAGATCTCAACGTTATATATGCTTGTGATTTTGAACATTGTTTAAATTCTGTTCCTATGAATCGATGTAACGATTGTGTAGATTGCAAATATTGCACCAATTGCACCGACTGTAAAAATTGTATCAATTGTGAAAATAGCATTGATTGTGAAAAATCTCGTAATTGTTTTAACTGTGAAACTTGCATGGGATGTAAAAGCATCAAAGATTGTACAAACTGCATAGCATGTGTTGATTGTAAATATTGTGATCAATGTTGCGAGAGTGACTGATGTGACGAGTGCGAAAGATGCAATAATAGCATAAAATGTGACGATTGCAAAAAATGCGATGGATGCATTAATTCTAATACCTGCCAGCGTTGTGAAAACTGCAACGATTATTTTTGTTGCATCAACTGTTGTGATCTAAATGGTGAATATTATTTAGTATTTGTATATTACGACGATATCGGTTATGGTTGTTATAAAAGAATGAGATCAAGAGCGCCAAACGACCAGAGTCAAAATATGAAAAGGAGAAAGAAGCAGTAAAACTTGACAATCAAACACGACAAAGAAGCTGAACCACAACCGCACACAATTTTTTAAAAAATCACACTATATATTAAACACAATGTTCTGGTCTTATGCTACAACATCAGATTACAATGAGATATACCACTTGCTCAGTAAAACAACTCCTAAAGAAGAATATGTTAAACCAGAAGAAACATGTAAACACGGCAATAAGAGAATAGAAGACAGATTTGTATATTGTTATGATTGTTTTCAAAGATTGTTCCCTTATCCAAGCTTTGAAGTAGAAAACGTAAGTGGCAAATACAATCAGCGCTTTGTTTACAAAAGGCCCCCATATCTAAAACGAAAAAAATTCTCAATTAACTAGACATTCATACCAATAAAGCAAGTGATATAGAATACAAATTACACCACATCTTAGCAGGCATGATTTATAGAGGGAAACCACTCAGGGCGTTGGTGGCGGTGTGTTATCAAGACGCAACCAAAAAACCTGTAGATAAATTCAAGCAATTGTTTCGAGTCTCTGAGAAACACTTTGCCAATGCCGTCATAAACTTTATGAAGAAGATATTTAAAATCGGTTTATTATAAATGGAATCACATTCTTTTTATTCAACCACTTATAATATTTTACGTTGTTATGGTCCCAGCCTTGCAGGCCGTTTGCTCGAGTAACTTCGAGGCTTGGCTTTTCCGAGTGGCTTTCGTCTTGCGTTTTTTGGGTTCCTTCGCATTGGGGAATTTACTGCCCAATCCCACCAATGTTCTAGCCCGTTGTGTCGGTCTGATGTTACAGTCAAAGACTTCCCTTTAAGGGTCGAACTTCTCCTACGTCACTCGAAAACGGATCAATATGGCCATGGTTATGTAGTTTCCATCCCAGCAGCGCATAGCCGGCACAACATGATGTGCCCTGTCCGGGCGACTTTGTCCTATCTTGCCTGTTACACATCCCCCATGGCCCGTTTTTGTCACATTTCGATGGGCGTCCTGTCACGTGTTACCAGTTTGTCGTGGTACTCCGTCGTGCCCTTGAGTTTATGGGGCTTTAGGACGCCATATTTACCTCTCGTTCTTTTCGCATAGGCGCAGCTACGTCTGCGACTATGGCGGGTGTGTCTGAGGATGACGTTAAGATTTTGGGGCATTGGAAGTCTGGGGCTTACCGACGTTACATTCGGATTCCCCTGGCTATTTTACATTGAACGATACATGTTGTATTAGCTTAAGTACTTTGCTCGTGTTTTGTTCCGATTTTCTTTTCATTTTTCTTGCAAGAATTGGTCCCTGGCAAGCCAACTGTGTGGGTCATTGGGGACGGCTCTGTGTGCTGGTGTGCTCGGGTGGCGGGGTCATCGCCCTGAGGAGAGCGTCTTAATCGGCTGGCCTATATCCACTGGATGGGACGGCGAAGACTCCAGATGTTCCAGTTCTCTGATTTCCTGTTGGAAGCGTGGTCGGCAGTTCCGATCTTACCTGACGTCATCATTCTCCAGTTTGGCGCAAATGACCTGGGGCTTGTACGGAAACATTTACTGAGTATTTTAGCACGGCAGTGCATCAATTTGACCAGAGAAGCACTGCCGCATACTGTCATTTTTTATTCAGATTTACTGCCCCGCCAAATTTACCCTCACGCCCTAAAGCAGAGTTCCCTTGTTCGCTGAACGCGTATGTTCATTCATTATTTTGAAATGCTCATTGGGGTGTTATTTGGCACCCCCAGATTCAGTGGTCTTCCGCAGTGTTATATCATGCGAACAAATTTCATTTGACTGATAATAATTATAATTGTTTGTTCATTCTCGACAACTTCTACCAAGCCCTGGAGCCATATTGTTTGCCTGTTGAATCTCCCCTTTAT